GTTTATCATTAAAGTTGTAAATATTCTTTAATATCTGCATTGCATTTATTTACGCCGATATTAGATAAAATGACAAATGCTAACAGATATATGATTTGCAAATCTATTCTGTGGTTTGTGCTTTCTTTTTGATGGTATTATTTGAAAGGCAGACATTTAAAATTATTTATTTTGTGTGTGTAGTGTGTGTACACATGAATATATATAGGTCTGCTTGCCTGTACATATGAGAGGCCAGAGGTCACGTTTAGATTTTACTTTTCCTGCCTGTTGACAGCTACTGAACAGCATGCATGTTTTCCTGACCCTCCTGGTTTCCCCATCATTTCTCTGACAGGGTGACCCCTCTCAGATTGTGCTGTGTACGTACCATGTTTGAAATGCCTTATAGTCAGTGTAGAATCTGGTAGTATTCTGAAGCTGGAACAGGGTGTTGTTTATAGAGGCCCATGATTTGGTTTTGTTTTGTGTTTTAAAATAACTGTTCCCTTCTCGTGTGCTCCAGTGCTTGGTGATGTTGCCAAGATAGAGCCACACTAGATAGCCTGTGTTTATTTTGAGACATGCGTAGTAAGAACCAAGACTTTTAAGTCTGAGCTGGAACAATTCAGTATCAGGCTATTTTAAGAGTCCAGGAGGCTCAGCAAAGCTGGGGCAGGGTGAGTGGCTCACCTGAAGGCACAGATGGCTCAGACAACCAGAGTTCTCGTTCTGTCGTTTCTTGACATCTTCTCGGCCCCATTTTCCTGTTGTTAAGATATTAGGATTAGTATCCTCAAGGATTTTTTTTATTTTTTACATCTTTGCTCTTTTAAATTTTGTCTCAAATTTAACGATCTTTCTGATTTTCAAGAACTTATGGTTTGAATCTACTAGAGTGAAAAAAAGAAATAATTCTGCTTCTTGGTGCCACCTTGGTAATGGTTTTTAAAAAGCCTCAGAAAATGGTCAGCGATTAGAAACTAGATAGCCTTGTTATGCTTCTTGCCAACAACAAACCAATTTAAAATTGCCCTTGGAATTTAAAGGTTAAGTAGAGGAGAGACCCAGTTGTGTTTTCCCCTGTAGGGTTTATTTTACGGTTTTTATTGGAGGTGGCAGCATGTACACTGAGGTGTGCGTGCCTGCAGACGGCGGAATGAGATTGGTTCCCTGGAGCTGGACTCAGTTGTGAGCTGCCTAACATGAGTGATGGCAACTGAACCCTGGTCCTCTGCAAGAGTATGTGCTCTCAGCTGCTGAGCCATCTCTCCAGGACCCCATCTGCGTCTAGGTAGAGATTAGACAGGGACCTCGTGTGTGATTGATGACATAATAAGTGCTCTTTGACTTCTGTTTTGACTTCTCTATTGAGATGGAGCTGAAGCAACGCTGTTTAAACAAAATGATGGGGGAAAGGTAGATGCCACTTTGAAAGTATTAAGTTAGAAATTAGCCTGCACTTGGGAACTCTGAAGTAAAAAGTCACTGGGAAAAACAGAATTACCATCACTAAAATGCAAGCGCTGAGAAACTTTCTCATTTGTGTATAGAGAGTACTCTAAATTCTCAGGAAAATACTCACCCAGTGGGATAAGCTTTTCCAGTTCTCTAAAAGTTGTTCTTGTCCCCTTTGTCATTGAGTGGGAGCCATGTTCCCCACAGACCTGTAGTGTTCTGCCCGCTAGTCCGCCCTTGGCATTGCGCTCTGCTCAGCCATGTGTCAGAGGCTCCTGTTCTTTCTGCCCTTGTGATCTGAGTTTCCAAGCAACTCAAGCTGTCCTGTGCTGCTTTTGTGAATAACCATGGGCAGGCCACTTTCGTTCTTTTGAAATATGGAGACACTCAACTTTGAGAGTCCCCTTATTTTCATTTTATTTTATTGATCTATACATTTTTCTCTGCTCCTTTTCCTGTCTCTGCCCTCCCCTTCTACCCTTTCCCATGGTCCCCATGCTCCCAATCTATTTAGGAGATCTTGTCATTTTCTACTACCCATGTAGATTAGATTCATGTGTGTCTCTCTTAGGGTCCTCATTGTTGTCTAGGTTCTCTGGGATTGTGATTTGTAGGCTGGTTTTCTTTGCTTTATGTTTAAAAACCATTTATGAGTGAGTACATTGATATTTGTCTTTCTGGTCTAGGTTACCTCACTCAATATGGTGTTTTCTAGCTCCATCCATTTGCCTGCAAGTTTCAAGATGTCATTATTTTTTCTGCTGTGTAGTACTCCATTGTGGAAATGTACCACATTATCCTTATCGGTTGAGGGGCATTTAGGCTGTATCCAGGTTCTGGCTATGACAAACAATGCTGCTATGAACATAGTTGAGCCTCAGCTATTAGAAACTGCAGGGGAGGGGAGGCTCTTCTGTTTACTATTGTTCTTCCTTGGAGATGTGAGCAGACTGGAACTGGACATTGGATAAAACAGCATGGAGATATAATGATCTCCAGGGTCTCCCAGGTACCCCTGTCCTGGAACCCCCTATGTGGAAGATGCACTCGATTTAGATGTAACCCTCCGATACTAAGGTTTACAGATCAGGGGAAGAAGAGGGATCTATCCTGGTTATCTGGGAAGATGTAGGGAGTAAGGCTATACCAAAAGGGATATGATCATGGCCTTATCTTCATGCTTTGAATGGAGATACTTCCTGAGGACCCTCCTCGGATGCTGGGGCCTGCTTCCAAGCTAATGCCCATGGGGAACATGCCTATATATATACCTCAACTTTACATACCTCAACCCCCCCCCCCCATCTACCCCTAAGGTATCCTTCACCAAACCACCTAGAGGTGTAGGGGGATTAGAAGCCTCACCTTTATGGCTTTAAACCTTACCCACCCTGAAGCCACTGAGGCCTGTTGGCTTTGCTTACAGTCACTACTCCGCTACTTTGAAGCCTTTGGGGTAAATGGCTCCTAAGAAATACTAGATACAGCTGATATTTGTAGATGGGAAAACCTGAAATGGAGATGTCTGATTGACTCCCCCTTTGGCAGATGTCACATGCAGCTTGTGTCTCATACACCAGACACTTTCTTCTTAACCTCACTTGTGATGTGGATAATGGGTCTATAGCTTCATGGAGGGTGCCCAAAGATCATGGTAATTTTGGATCTGTCAAGAGATGGAGGTTACTCCCTGCCTGTCTGACCCACTGATCATTCAGTATAATGATACTTGCCTGCTTGCATTAATTTTACCTCATGTGCTTTACCACACACAAGAAAAATTCCTGGCCCAAAAGCATAAGAGAGAGTCCCTAATGGCCCTGGCCATCACCATATTGATAGGGCTAGGGGTGGCCAGGACTGCCCTGGACACCTCATCCCTGGTGCTTTTACAACAGGAAATGGGAATAATTCGCTCACAGTTGACAGTGATCTTAGAAAAGACAGAGACTGCATTATATTATTTACAAAAGTCTTTGGATTCCTTAGCAAGGGTAACCTTACAAAATAGGAGAGGCTTGGACTTGCTGTTTATGGAACAAGGAGGAATTGGCAGGGCACTTGGGGAAGAATGTCACTTCTATGAGGACCTTTCCAGGATAGTTACAAGAACCCTAAATGAGTTAAGAAAAGATATTGATTCATTTAAGTCAAGGACTCCCTATGAGACCTGGTTTAATTGGTCCCTATGACTTACCACACTCATCTCGTCCCTAATTGGGCTGATAGGTATTTGTTTATTGATAGTCTTTTTTGTCCCATGCATTCTCCAAAGGCTGAAACAACCATTCCAAAAGCAGATACTGGTGCAGGATGATTGTCTATATTCTGTCAATTATGTTATAAATAAATGCTGATTGGCCAGTAGTCAGGCAGGAAGTATAGGCAGGACAACCAGACAGGAAGTAGAGGCGGGTCAGTGAGAACGGAATTCTGGGAAGGAGGAAGCTCATTCCTCCCTAGTCCTGTCCAGACACCAAAGAAGGAAGATGTGACCTGCCCCACTGAAAAAGGTACCGAGCCATGTGGCTAACATGTACTAGAATAATGGGCTAATAAGAAGCCTGAGCTAATGGCCCAATCAGTTTATAACTAATGCAGACTCTGTGATTTTCTTTGGGGCTTACCAGCTGTGGGAACTGGGCGGGACAGAAACCCCAACAAGCAGGCCCTCATGTTACAACAGGTACAACTCATGGCCCTTCAAGAACATTATGATAGGCTTGGTACATCTCACCCCACAGATGAACTCTCAATTTGAGGGTATTCAGGTTGAAACTCCGGATGGGGGTAGCCCTGATCTGTGGGCTATTCAGGCTTGGTGACTGAGGTGAGGGTGTGGGATAGAAAACAAAAAGGGGGAGATGTTGGGCCAAAATTATCTCAGGACTTGTACCTCAAGGCCAGTAGGACAGAGAAAAGCCTGGCTTGAGTTTGAAGGATAGTCAAAGCTACCCAGTGAGGACGAGACAGCAAAATCTAGGTAGACACCCCTCCAGCCAGTCTCTCATTGGCTGTCTCTCATTGGCTGGAGGTACCCCCACATCACATCAGCCCATATGATGTCTTTAACCTATATAAGCTAACACTCACAGTAATAAACTGAGTTCCTGCTTTGACTTGACTCCCTATTGCATCTGATTGTTGAGTCCTGCATTGTGGGCTGCGGAACAGGCAGATAGTGCACTCACCTTTCCCCAGGGAATAAAGCTAAGGAGGCCTAGCAGGACCCAAGTGGCATTCGGTAACAGAATCAGAACCTAGCTGGGGTTTCTAGACCTCCATTCAGGACTTTATGGAGGCTTCTTCAGATAAGGAAACTAACTCATAGCCACCATTTATTCTGTTCTGGGCTTTCTAACTTTGGTGCGTGGCATATATGTGTGGGATTGTTTCATAGAGAAAAGATGTGACTCCTGTGTTCATAGTATGCAGCCCTACACCAAGCACCTGAGCATCCACCTGCCATGTATCTTGGGGAGATGTAGCCCATGTGTTCGCATTGGTCGCAGACTCACGATGGATTTTGTCTGCAGTATAATTCTCCTGTTCTATTGTTTCAGCTTGGATTTACTTTGGGCAACGTGGTTGGAATGTATCTGGCTCAGAATTATGACGTAAGTAGCCATATTTACATCTTTCTTGCTCCCTGTACCTGTTTCATTGTTATTTTTCTCTCTCAAGGTGAAGTTTGCCTACTAGCATAAATGAAGTCCATAAGAATGAATCCTTAATTTTATAGAAAGTTTTTCTGTTTTTTGAAAAAATAATTGAGATCACAGAAGCATGTATGTCCCCGTATCATCACAAGAGAATAGTAGATGTGGGTTTATTGGAGTGTGGCTCATGTAAGGAAGAGAGTTTGATGGGGTAGGGAGTTACATCAGCCTTCCTGTAGGGATGAGGAGTGGAAAACTGGGTGTCACAACTGGATGGGAATCCTGAAAGGTGTTTTAGAAGACATGGGATTATATCTTCTTCTGTACTAGAGATCTTAGTGTGACAGAAGGATTCCTACTTTTAGAATCTAGTTCTCTAGTCAGGGACTGTAGACGAGGCCGCTTGTTTATTCCCGGCCACCCAGACCTGAAATAATCACACAAAAACTGTATTAATTAAAACACCACTTGGCCTATTAGCTTAAGTGTATTTCTAGCTAGTTCTTACATCTTAAATTAGCCCATTTCTGTTATTTTATATTTTACCACAAGGCTCATGGTTTACCGGTACCAGTATGTGGGCATCTTTCTCTCTGACTCCGCCTTCTTTCCTCCCTTATCTGCTTGGAATTCCTGCCTTACTCTAATCTGCTAGGCCATTCGGTGAAACAGCTTTATTCGTTAACCAATAAAAGCATCACATATGCAGAAGGACTTCCCACACCAAGGGACTTTATTACTTTATCATTTGTTGCATACAGATGTATATCTTTTAGTTGATACTGGGTTGAAGGGCTGAGTGTGTATCTAAAGGGAGAAGGTGGGCCTGGCTTTCAGGGAGGGAACATAAACTTAACACTGATAGCTTTTGTATGCAGGTATAAAGCAAAGAAATAACCACTATTGAGCTGGTCTCCTCCAGGGGAAGCCTAAACCTTGCAAAGCCATTGTTAAAGGAAGAGATGTGAAGGAATATTGGATAGGTAGATGCTAAACTAAATGCTCCTGGTTTTTTTTTGTTTTTTTTTTTTTTTTATTAAGATGCCAAACCTGGCCAAAAAACTTGAAGAGATTAAAAAGGACCTGGAAGCCAAGAAGAAACCCCCTAGTTCCTGATGTCTGCCCAGCACTGCACTCTGGACCCAAGTTCCCTCCTTCATAGCCGCATCCCAAAGCTGTGTTCCTCCTCAGCCTCAGACCTTGCCTGTTGCCTTAGAACCAACATGGGGCCAGAAGTCAAGGTTACCAGCAGCTTCCCTTCCTCCTGTAACTTCCGTCCAGCTGCTTCTGAGTCCTAAGACTGGAATATGGTGCTGGGTTAGCAATCACAATCTTCATTAGTGTTCACCCACCTGTCCTCTGGGAGCTACCCCCTGCTGTCAAGAGAAGGATGAATGGATTCGGATAGCTGATTTCACCCTCTAGCAGTTACAATAGGAGTGTGTTACATGTTTGTTACTAAATTTTGTTGTCAAAGTAATTAAAATCAATACGTTCAAGCCAGTTTCTGGTGAATTATCCATTTATTTTGTTATCAAGGAGCTCCATGGTTGGTAATTTAACCAATAAATCATTTGCTTATCATTAACCAAGAAACTGAATTCTGTAAGAACTTGGAAATTTTAAAACATGCAACCTTACTGTTGTCTGAGTAAAGTCTATGTAGTCTGGGTGTTTTTCCTTGATGATGTGTTTGCTCTGACTCTGCTGTCCAAAGACCCATTTGACATTGTATGGCAGGCGGATAGGTGAGAAGCTGTTGGTAAAGGACTGTTAATTTTTTAAATTATGTATTAACTTTATAGTGATTCCCTCACAGAGAAATGAGGTCCGGATGTGTGATAAAAATGAAACCGTGGGGACATTCTGCATGGTCCGAGTATGCAATAAGATGGGACCGTGGCACAGTTGGAGCTCCCCTGCCCCCATCAGAATGGATCATCAAGCATCGTCATCTTTTTTTTTTTTTTAAACAGTCTCCCTAAGTTACCCAGGGTGGTCTTGAACTCCTGGGCTCAAGCAGTCCTCCTTCCTTAACCTCCGGGTGCTGGGACTGCAGGTGTGCACCACGGTGTCTGTCTAGTCCATAGCTTTTTAAGTAAAGAATATTCTAACAGGTACCTAACTTTTCCCCAGGAGATGACATGAAAGTGATTTCCCACGAAGGCCCTTTCCAGAGTCCGTCTTGTTCCCAGATACAGTTCCTCAGGCGATCCTCATTGTCAGGTTCCTGGGTACCCTCGAGCGTGTCTAAGCACATTGTGGCTTTGTTTTTTCTTTTCTTGTACATGCTACTCTTTGCCTTTTGGCTCTTCCTTTTGTTTGTTTGTTTTTTTTTGTTTGTTTGTTTGTTTGACACACAGTGCCAAGCCTGTGCTTTATATGTCAGGGATGACTTTGAACTTCTGATCCTCCAGCCTCTGCCTCCCGATTGCTGGGATTAAAGGTGTGCACCACTGCCTGACTTGCTTTTTTATGCTTAGTGGAATGCATTCCATGTCAGTATGTTAAGAACAGGGAACCTGGGGCTGGAGAGATGGCTCAGTGGTTAAGAGCATTGCCTACTCTTCCAAAGGTCCTGAGTTCAATTCCCGGCAACCACATGGTGGCTCACAACCATCTGTAATGAGGTCTGGTGCCCTCTTCTGGCCTGCAGACATACACACAGAATATTGTGTGAATAATAAATAAATAAATGAATAAATAAATTAAGAGAACAGGGAACCTAACTCCTCTGTTCGCTATGTAAGATTCTATTGAATGGACATTCCAGATGAATGTTTAGATTGTTCTTTTGCTGTCGTGGTGATAGCAATGAACCTGCTGGCCATATCCACCCAAGTAAAGCTATAAGATAAAGCCCTAGAAGTCAAGTTTGCATAAAGACAGTGTCTTGCTTCAGAGGGCTCTTTGGGCAGCCTCTCTGACAGTGCTTTTCTGAAGATATTTTAGTGGACAGCAGGTACAAGGATTACTTAAGAGATACCTGTTTGCATAAGGGGTGACACTGACTCCATATGGGAGTCAGAACACGGTGCTCCTACTTGGAGGTGCATTTTATCCCTGTAAAAGCCATCCTTTGATGGGAGACAGAGGATGAGCAAGTCACTGACTTCTCCCTAGCAGTGGGGAGTGGGCAAGTGGTGTTTTCTTCTGAAACTTTGTAACACCTACCTCATGAGGGTTTCATGGGAAGCAGTTGAGATGATGTATGTGCTCTGTTATGCTGTGCTGGTATTCTTAACCTCTAAACCATCTCTCCAGCTCCCATATTATTCTTTTAAAGATTTATTTATATGTATGAATACTCTGGCCGCATGTATGACTTTATGCCAGAAGAAGGGCATCAGATCCCACTATAGATGGTTGTGAGCCACCATGTAGTTGTTGGGAACTGAACTCAGGACCTCTGGAAGAGCAGACAGTGCTCTTAACTGCTGAGCCATCTCTCCAGCTCCTGGGAGCCAAACCCTGGACCTCTGGACAAGCAGCAAGTACTCTTAACTGCTGGGCCATCTCTTCAGTCCCAAGGTCTTCTTACATTATATTACATAGTCAAACTCTTGGGGGTTCAAGAGCTTCCCTCAGGAGTGACACTTAGCTGTACTGATAGGGTTGTTTCTATACGGGGCCCTGCCTTAATTTCTGCTCCACCATAGAAATCGGCACGCAGTAAATACCGGCTAGTTGCAGGTTTACTCTTCAGGTGCAGTCTCCCGGTGTGTTGTTGTGATTGTGCACATGCTGGGCAGTGCTCTGCTGCAGAGTCACAGCCCCAGCCCTGGCTTTCCCTTCTGTAGCAGTGAAAGGCAGCTCAGCTCTTGGGTATGACATTTGCCAATGTCATAAATGCTGAGAGTCTGGAACTCTTCTGAGTTGTAAGGGGCAGGGATTAGAGATTGGTCATGTGAGTGGGGTTGTGATTGTGAAGACCCATCGCCAGGAGATGGCTCCCCCCTGTCTCCATCTAAAAAAGCACTTGAAAATTCTGGGGATATATTTTAAGAAAACTGCCTTGGGTGAGTGCAAGAGAGCCACTGAAAATACTACCGCAGCTTCCTCTGACACGAGATGGAAGACTTCGGGATTGTTGCAATTATTTTATGTATGTATGTATGTATTGTGTATGTATGTATTGATTTATTTTTCTCGAGACAGGGTTTCTCTCTGTAGCCCTGGCTGTCCTGGACCAGGCTGGCCTTGGAGATCCGCCTGCCTCTGCTTCTGCCTCCAGAGTGCTGGGATTGAAGGTGTGTGCCACCACCACCTGGCGTGATTGTTAGAAATGTAATCGGTACACTAAACTTGAAAGACTCATCCTCAGACTGTAAACCTAGAGAAAAAAGCCACCCAATGTTTAATATTCGCGAAGGGTGCCGTTTTCTGAGTCATTGGAGTGGTATCTTTAGACTTCCGAATTGCTTTATGGAGTTAAGCAGATACCGACTTCTGATGGAAAGGAGGAGAAATCTCATTTCTTTTTCTCTAACTCGATTTTCATTCCCACAGCTGCAGAGAAAAGTGAGATGTGTGCTTTTCCTCGTCGTCTGTCCTGCTGGTCATGGTGCACACGTCCGCGTGTGTAATGTTTTCATTTCCACCGGGGAAATCACGCCCTGGATACTGTGCTGGTGTTTGTTTTCTTGAGCTCTCTTACATTTTAAAACTTACTTTAAAGGTTCTCCCTGTGAAAGAACACTACACTGTACTGTAGCAAATGAAGCCTTTCTTAAGCTCCCAGCCTTGGGTTTGCTCCTGACACCTATCAATCAATTCTTTCTTTCCCTGCTCTTAGAGCCTTGCCTTCTGGAAAGGAACAGGGCAGTGAAGGGAAAATATTTTAAGATCTTGCTTGTTCTTTATGGGAGTTTGTGGTACTTAGAATTCTAGGGGTTCAGTATATACTTCTCCTGAGTCTGGTCGCAACATACTCAGCCAAGTAAGGGGATGTGCTTAATGGATGACAGTTTTATAAGGCACAGTGGGAGCAAAAAAAGACCTGGGAGGGATCTTATGGAAAAGAGCCCAGGGTGGAGCACTGGCTGAGTCACTGCCACAGTGGCTGGATAGTGGAAAAGGTCTGGTGAGCTGTGTTGTCTCACATGTACAGACGCACAGGGCGGGGACAGAAAGTACAGTATAAGATACAGCGTTCACTCAGTGCTCACTGAGCTTTGGCCCCTTCGTGTCACTGGGGTCAAGCAACTTGCGGTACTGACAGTGATTCTAGCATTTAAGATACCAACAGTAGCATCTCTGCATGCGAAATTAACTGTGCCGTCTTTGGTGTTCACAGGGGATCAGCTCCAGGCCCCCTGTAGATAGCAAGATCTGAGATGCTCCAGTCCCTTGTCCCATGGATGCATCTGTATGTAGCTGACACATAACCCTCCGTGGAAGGCTGAGTGGAGGTTTTTGCAAACCACGGCAATGGATTTAAGTCTTCGTGACATGTAAATGCCGAGTGTGGGAGATCATCCTCCTGCTCTCTGCTGCTGGGTCCTAGTTTCCCTTCCGTGCCTGTGAGGAAACACTGAGCAAAAGCAACTGGTGGAGCCAGGAGTTTATTTTGCTCGCAGGTTACAGTCCGTCACCAAGGGGACCCCGGAGCTCAAGGTAGGAACCTAGAGGCAGAAACTGAAGCAGAGGCCAAGGAGGAGTGCTGCTCACTGGCTCCCTTCCCATGGCTTGCTCAGCCGCCTTCACAGCCCTGGTTCATCTGCCCAGGGAAGGCACAGCCTACAGAGGGGTAGGCCCCCCTATGCCAATTAGTGATTAAGGAAACACTGCATAGACATGCCCACTAGCCAATCGATGCGGACAATGCTTCACTTCAGATGTGTTAAGTTGATAACCGAAGATAACCGTGACATGGGTGACTTAAAGGGATTTCAAAGGCAGTTTTGAGCAACTTGATATGCAACTTAAGAATAAGATTCAGCCGTACTTAATATCCTTGTCTCTGTTTCACCAGCTGGAAGATGATTGTGTTTTCACAGCTACTATGTGATATTACAAAGAGATGGACTGCAAGTGAAGTGCTTTTAGACGCCTGGAAGTTAACCACATCTGCCGCTCCATTGTCGAGGTGGGCAGTCATGTTTGGCCCGAATCTGGGTTAGGGAAGAAGGTGCTGTTCTGAGCACTGTTATGTTGGACCGTGATGGTTGAGGGCATCTGCTAATGGAGACCCTGGCAGCAGCTGCTGCGGGAGCACCCATTGCTTTCCCCGAGGAAGACTCAGATCATGGAAGGTGGCCAGCAATTCCAATTGCGCTTGCTTGAGCCAACTTTTCTCTGTCTTTTTACCTCCTCTACTCCCTGAATCACGTCACCAGTACTTTTCTTGTCTAACCCAGGGTCTAGGAGTTCTGTAATGGTTCAGAACTGTGATGAGCCGTCCCAGCAATAGGAGAAACACCCTGACTCAAAAACACTTTGAAGCAAATTGCTTTGGGATGCCACTGCTCTCAAGCCAGCTATACTATTGGCATGGTGGATAGGCTTGTGAAATCTTCACTGTTGTGATTGGCCAAATACTGGCTGTGCTAATTAGTAAGGTAGAACTAACTGGTCGTCTTCCTGGTTAAACCTGGTCGGTCACATTCTGTGGCGTCTGGAAGCATCGGCTGACACACAAGGGACTTCACAACTCAGACACGTGGTAAGCTACATGTGTGCTTTAACAGATAAAGTGTCCCGAGAAAACCGCTGTCAGTGGTAAACTGAAATCAGTTATAGCAGTGTAGTACCGCAGGGGGCTCTTCTAAGACAGGTTTAACAAGCAACCGAGAGTGAAACCAGAAGCACAAACAGAAGGGATGGAGGTCTCCATCTAGCTGTCCAGCAAGGGCATCTGACGCGGTTCCCCAGCAGAAGGAGTAGACCTTGCTTTGCAGTGGCTTTTTTTCCCCATCAGAAACATTTATTGAACAGTTAGAGTTTAATATATTATAAAGAACCCAAAACACCTCTTTTCCCTCAAAGGTCTCAGGGATGCATAGGAAGGCCTGGTAGGGCCTTTGGGCACTACTTGGAACTTGGTGTTCTCAGAAACAAACTAGTCATTAAATGGAGAAGCAAGTATAACATCAATAATACTGTGGTCTTAACAGGAGGTTTGGTCTCCCTCATGAGACAGATGCGAACCTTTTCCCTCCCTCACCACACTCACAAGGCAATAACATTTCTGGTTAATGACAGTGCATTGAGAGGCTGATTCCACAATGTTTTGTTTTGTTTTGCCCCCCTCTTACCTTTGATGGGATAAGGCCAACCTCTTCCTAAAGGGGCATATCATTTCTTTACAGAAATCTGGTGCCAAGGGAAAGGGAACCACTAAAGAGAAAGACTTAGGCAAACAAAACTGATGGAAGTACAGGTCGCCGCTAAGAGGACCTCTCCAGGGTTGCCTTTTTCTAGACACAGGTAAAAATGCTTGAGAACACAAGGAAAGGCTTTCCCCCAGAAGAGAGGTCACAGGTCTCGTGGTCTGTGTAGGCAGAGTGCTCTGCTATCTCCGATCCCTAGGAAGGGGCAGGGAGCATAAAACCTGGTGTGGCCAGTCAGTTTGTGAGGCTCCCCTCAGGGAACTAAGGCTTGCAGTGTTTTTTGGTCTCAGGAGGAGTTAGGGTTGGACAGAGAGAGAGAGAGAGAGAGAGAGAGAGAGAGAGAGAGAGAGCGCGCGCGCAGCTGTAGGCTTTCTTGAGAGTTGGTTCTAGGGGAAGCAGGCAGTCTGGGAAGGAGACACGCCCACACATCTGGTGGCAGGTGGAGGAATCTGGTGACAGGGATGTCCTCCACACGGGTCTGGGCTGTGCGTGCCTGCTGGCTTCGGTTGCCTGTGGCTCAGCTCCGGATGTGCTGGTTAACTGTCCACCAACTGCGTTAGGTCTGATCGGTGATGTTGCTGACCTTAGCCCAGGCCGGGAAAGTGTCCAAGTGGAAGAGGCTAACTCCCCAAGTATTGATGGCCACCATCACTATCACCAGGCCAATGACATTGACTCCCAGGCCAGCTTTCACCTGCGGGACAAAAGCCAGAAAAACGCTGAGCCAACAGTAGCCAGATTGCCTCATAGTGAGCCCTTCCCAGGCCCAGCCTTAGCCTTGCCCCCGTGCTGTGTGGTTTCTCCCAGCAGCTGCTTAGACTGCTCTTGCTCTGTTCTGTACCCTTCTGTGGCAGGACCGGAAACGCGGTGGGGGAGGGGTTGGTGGGGGTGGGGAGAGGGATAAGAATCACCTTCTTGTCTATAGCACTCTCCCGTCATTAAGTAGAAGCCTGGGAAGTCTGTGAAGCTACCCGAGAAACCAGGTCTGAGGAGTGTTGTTATTTGTATAACAGAGTGATGGGGAAATAAATTTAGCATAAGCAGATCTCCTGAGCAGGAATGCAGAACCTCCTAAGTGCTCACGGACATTAAGAATTAAGTGGCTGTGTTTGCCACTGTTACCATCTCTCGCCCCCCAACAGCTGAGGGATGTAGAGTACCTTGGGTTAACAGGCCGATGATGTGAAGGTCGGTGACTGGTTGAACTGTGACCCAAGCAGGTCCTCTAGCTAGTAGGAAGCTGGGGAAAATGGATGCTGGAAAATTGTTCAAAACACACAACTAGCCTTCTAGCTAGGACCTGAACTTCTCAGTCATCCTGTGCCCTGTTGTGTGAGGCATGGCTGGCCCATGCTTTCCAGGGATGGTGGATGGGGTCTTGCATACTAAATTCAGGTTCTGTGGAATGGAAAGGGACCACAGGAAGTACCTACTTGGAACCATCTTGTTGAACAGGTGAAGAAACTGGAGTTTTAAGTTAGCATCAATCTAGGAACAGAACCTGACACTGGCTCACTTCCTGTCTTCTAGTCCCTGCATTAAGTACTGTCTCTGATAATGGAAAGGCAAGGGGTAAGAGGGGTCAGCCACAGGGGAAGCGGAGGCAAGAGAGTTGAGGCAGAACTCAGCATGAGCAGCCTATAGTGATACAGTGAGAGGGGAGGGGAGTGGCCATGATCTCCCACCCTGAAGTCACCCCCTTGAAGAGCCATTTTAATGGTGAAAAAGGTCTCCAAAACTTGTGTGGCCACTGAGGAAAAGTTTCACCTCATCAAAGGTGATCCTGCTTCAGACTGTTGGGCCTCAGGGCTTTGTGTTAGTTGGTTTAATATCTCCTCGCACTGTGGTCAGCTTTGGGGACTGAGATCAGCTGTAATTATAGGCTGAGAGAGGAATGTGGGTCTGCCCACCACTAATGGCAGCCACAGACTGTCTCTCCACAGCCACCGCCTGGGACCCAGCTGGAAATCAGAGTCTGGGGAGTAGACATTTTAATTTGTATTGCTGCCTTCAGGGCTCCCTCGCTTGGGACACCTTTCACCAGAGATCATGCAGTTTATCATACTCCATGGTCTCCGAATAAATCAGCACGTGTTCAGGAAAGGTTTGCACAAGCTCATGCCTTCTGGAACGAGCCCAAAGCCTGTGCCCTGGTATCCTTCTCTATCCCCGGGCCTGCTTTTTTCCAGATGAGAGTTAGGGAAAGCCCATTGCTATTCTGGAACTTCCAGGCCAACCTAGAACCCTTTGATAGGAATCAGTCTTTCCGCACACCAGAGGGTGCTGGGAGCCTGCTATGAAATCAGAGATTCCAGGAGAAGTTCACACAGCGAACCATCCCTGCCCTCGTGGAATGGGGCCTGGCAGAGGGCACCCACAGCTCACCATGTCTTTGATCTGGCAGTGCCCATAGCTGAAGACGATGGCATTGGGGGGGTTGCCCACCGGTAACATCACAGCAAAGGAGATGGACATGGTGACGGGGACCAGGGTGTATAGTGGATTGATGTGCAGCGTTTCCGACTGGAAGAGAAAAGTTCACAGTGACGTTAACTCTGAGAAGAGGTTGGCATGGCCTGTGCTCTCAAGGTGGCGTGGTGTTGGACACCATGTTCTGGGGCATGTTCTTGTTAGCTCCCTTCCCTCTGGGGCATGCCTTTGCCCACAAGGGCAGAAACTCTGAGGCAATTCCAAGGATGGATGTTTGAGCTTTGGGTGGGGGTGGGGAAGGACATCTTATACTTTATGTTTATTTTACGTGCATTGGTGTTTTGTCTGCATGTATATGTCTGTGTGAGGGTGTCAGATCTTGGAGTTACAGACAGTTGTTAGCTACCATATGAATGCCAGGAATTGAACCCTGTTCCTCTAGAAGAGCAATCAGAGTCCTTAACTACTGAGCCATCTCTCCAGCCCCCCCTTTTTTGCAATTTATTTTTTTTTAATTGGGAGGAGACATCTTAATGAACTGGTTCTTGAAGTTCATTCTTTAGCTAAGAAATCCCTTCTTTAAGAAAATCTCACTAATAAATCTCAATTGAAGTGGCTTTAATGGAAGCAAGAATCCCTCACCGTTGGGGTGTAGGTCTGAGGGGCTCTCCCACCCTGGAACATAGTTTAGTTGCTCTCTTTGGGATTTGAATCCATGACCTGGCTTTCAGTATTGGCATGTTTTAAGAAAATGGTCTTGAAGGGCACCGTGGCACATGGATTTAATTTCAGCACCCCTCCCAGTACTGGCAGGCAGAGGCAGATGGAGAGGGCAGAGAGCAGCCGTGAGAGCTGGCGTTCCATGAAGTAGGAAGGATTTTTGTAGGTTGGTAGGGCCTCCATGCCCTACGCTTCCAGGGGCAGCATTCCATCAAGTGTATTTCCTTGGGGACTTCGACACTTGCTCCACCCATTAAAAACTGGCGTGAGGTCATGCTGATATTGGAGGTGGTGCCTGTTCAAGCTACAGTCTTGTGTATTGTTTTCCTGAGATGACTTCAGTATGCAGCCCAGGCTGCCTTCAAAGAAATTAATTCTGCTTTTTTTTTGAAAAGTGTTTCTAAATTATTGATATATTAATGTATAATTTTATTTTATTAATTGTCATTTTAAAAAAATTCGCCACTTAAACTACGGATTGAACACCAACCAGTGAAAGTGGTGGGCAGTGAGAGAGGAATAGCTATAGGAACAGTTCCCCAGGCCAGGCTTGGCACTGAGGCCCTGGGGTACACGTCTGGCCATCAAGGAGTCTCAGCTACTCACCAGGGTGCACAGGATGGGCAGGAAGATGGTGATGGTGGCTGGATTGCTGACAAACTCTGTGACGATGGACACCAGGACACATGCCAGGAGAGTGATAGCCCACGGTGGGAGGCTGCTCAGAGACAGCATCTGGTGCCCAATCCACGTGGAGAGTCCGGAGCTCTGCGGAGGAGGTGGGCCGGTGAGAAGGAAGGAGCAAAAGCCAGTTCCGGAGGGGTCGGGAACGCTGCCTGGGAGGGCTACCAGGCCTCATCCGACCTCTCCGGCCTCTCCAGAGCCACACTGAGTTCATGAGTAGATCGATTTTATAGTCCAGAAATGTCTTAAAAATGGACAGCATTCTATCTTTGGGTTTCCTGGTCATGGGGTGTTAGAGCCGCCCACCTTGGCCTGAAGGTCCTCCCCAGGCAGAATTGGGAGTCTTCAGGGTTACTCATCCTTCTTCCACCCTCTGACACCCTCACTCCGTGCAGCCCCCTCGCAATGGTGAGGGTTATCCTTCCTCTCCTAAATAATGGCCAATGACATCATCGAGTTTCTGTACTAAAACATCCCAGGTCACCATATGCATTTTTTTCTCTCTTCTCTGTGACCGACACACTCAGACTCTTCCTAGAGCATCCCAGAGACTGCAAAGGCGATAAAGAAATGGAGAGTGGGCAGGAGGCAAAGTGGACTATTTCATAACCCATCAAGCTTAAGGACCACTTCCATGTGGTTGGGCGGCAAGCCCCCTTCGTTCCTCTTCGCTAAAGTCATCGAGAGCTCATGGATCTCTAGGGAACTCTCACCACACCACGGCAAGCTCACAGACTAGTGATGACCAGAGCCCTTCACAGTTCTCTCTGCTGTAACTGAGGCGTGTGGAGGGCTCTGAGAGTGGCCCACACAGTAGTTAGTGTTGGCTAATAATTCATACAGCTCCTCGCAGCCTCTGGAAGCTGTTGTTCTTCCTTCTTCTAACACATTATTACACCAAGAGAATGGTACAAAGGCTGGAAGAGCCACCAGATGAGTTATAAACTGTGTTAGGAAACGACTGAGTTTTACTTATGACATTATCCAGGTAGTACTTATAAACTAAAGTAACATAAGGATAACTAGTTTTCCAACAAATTGTTTATATGAAAGTTTGAAATAAATTGATAAATTATGGTGCCAAGTCAGAAGAAGTACAGTGAAAGATGTCTTCCTTTTTTAAAGACTTGGTTGAAAATGCTTTACAGTGGAGTTTCCTTACTTGTGTCAACACTCTGAAATAGTTTCAGACTCAGTAGGAATGGCACAGATTTTACCTGACTTGCTCTAGAATCAAAGCTAGCTGAGTCAGAAGGGTTTACAGGGACAGGACCGTGGTGTCTATAATTTATACACAGTTTTGATGGAAAAAGGAATAGGTCATGTCAGGGAAGGTCCAGGCCAAATGAATAACTGAAATGCAATAAAAGACAATATAAAACTCTGAGCCCAGAGTCAGAAATGTTGACAGCATAGACACGGGGTGGCTGAAAAGGACTGAGGTTTATAGCGGCCCCTAATGCAAAGAATTAGAGCTGCAAGTGATTGCAGTTTCATTGTAGATGTGGACACATGTGCCCAGGTAGCCTCAGAAAAGCTCCTATGCTTTTCTGCATAGCAACTGCAGGCGGATGCTGCCGTCAGGGAAAGAGGAGGGCTAGCTAATATAATTAACCGATAGATCGGCCACCAGAGGACCATATTTAAATACAGCGGCGGAAAACTTCAGTGAGTCCTGAGTGAGACCAGAAATTGTATGTAACCTCTGAGAACAGTTAAAGGAGCTAGGGACTTTTCGCTGGGGGAAAAAGAGTCTAATAGAACCTATTGGTTACATTAATAACTATTACCTGGAATTCTAGACGACAGCCAGAACCAACACTGACGACACACAAAGAAGAAAGAACAACTTGACTGGAAAATGAGTAACTGTTCTTTGTATAGGGAGTGCCCAGTCAGTGGAGGTGTGCAAGGATGCTGTCCTGGGGCAAATACTCAGGGGGTAGGAAACTGGCCTCAGTGTCCCCTGAGGTTCCTTCCTGTATAGGAGTCTGGCTGGCTGCCAGTGGTGAGATAGTATTGAGGCCCAAAAGGAATGGTACCAGTTTGGGGCTGGCGAGGGCTCTGCAGAGAAGACCACTTATTCTTGCAGGGGACCTGGTTTCAGTTCCCAGCACCCACATGGTGGCTCACAACCAACCCTAACTCCAGTTCCTGGGGATCTAATGTCTTCTGAACTCTGCAGACACCAGGCACACATATGGTGCATATACATACATGCAGGCAAAACACTCATATACATAAAATAAATTCTAAGGTGGAAAATATACCAAGTTTGGGGCAGGTTAGTGCATGAGGCCAAGGTGGAGGGAGAAGCAGTCTGAACCTCAGTCTGATTAATTCACAGGATTCTTTCCTTCACAGAGAGCTAATGGTAGAAGAGCTTCGATTATTCCCACCAGTCTCACTCAAACGATCCCATGCTGGGCGTTCTCAGCCAGGAAGCCAAGCAGACGTATATCTGCTTCTGCTAGGATTCCCTGGGAGGCTCAGTCCAGGCATGTAGATGGTCAGAGGGACAGCCTACTGAGTTGTCATTTGGGGTCTCTATGAACATTTGTGATCAACCTCCTGTCAGTGAGACCCCAGAAAGGAGATACCTATAAAATCCCCACTTCCTTTTGCTTGTGACAGTGTGGGGGTTGCAAAGGAGGTATCAATGTCTGTGCTGACTTGTGGCGCCAGCTAAGATGGCCAGGGAGGAACCAGCGTCCGCTCTACCATGTTGCCGTCCTTCCTAGTGACTTGGTGGTCACTATGCTCTCCCTTGGTCACTTCTAGTCTCTCCTTCAGGGTTGTAATGGACTCCCAGGAAGCTTCTGGACCGATATTTGACCAAGAAGAGAGTTGAATTGTTACCTTGCTGCCAGATGCCAGGGCATAGCCTCCTCCCACCAGGATGACAATCTCCCAGGGCATCGTTTTCTGGAAGTCCTTCCAGGTGATGATGGGCTCGATCCCTTGGGTGGGCTCCTGGCTTGCCCCTGGATCACAGATAGGAAGAAACGGAGGCAGGTAAAACCCTGGAGGCATGACGGTTTGTGAAGAAGAGCCTAGCTAATGTAGAAATTCCAGGGGTTGGGAGCTAGCTATCCGGGTTGGAGTCTGAAGGGCCTCGGAAGGTCTCTTGGCCGTTCTGACTTGGTATTCTCCCATTAAAGCCACCCCTGACTCTGCCCCTTGAGTCTTTTCTCACCGTCTCTCTTCTTCCCAAAGCACGGCTTCTTTGCTGGAATGAGAAAGAGCAGGAAGCCGAGGAACACAGAGACCGTGGCATCGGTGCGGTAGCCTTTCCTAGCAAAGAGAACACGGGGCAGGAGGAGGAGAGTCAGGAATCCTCGAGAGCCACGCAAGTCTCAGGACAGGTTGTGGGGACAGAGCACCGCTTCACAGGACACAACCCAGAAGTGGCAGCAACCTGTTTGCCGGTTGCTGGGCTGTGCTATGGTGCATTTACAGGGAGGGTTAAGGTCTGGAGACAGCCTCCCTAAGGGAGGTGTCTTAGTGTGATGTGACATCCGGGTAGTGCTTGAGCTGAGTGATCAGAGTTCTTTAGATAATAACGAAGCATGGGCCTCTCTCCTGGGGGGGCGGGAACCACACCTCCAGGCTGGTGCTGGGAGAGCTTGTAAATCTGCAGTGGTGGCCTGGGACCCTTATGTGTACCTTGCCTGGTGGCTTCTTTCTCCACAGGGCTCTGAGGCCACAGTCTCATAGCTAGTCCTTTATAGAGGTTTCCCCCTTAACACGCTCAGCGTCTGGGAAATGGGTGAGGCCCCAAGCATGGTTCTGTAAGCTTGACTAAGGTTACATGGTAAATGGCAGCCCCTGGTTCCAACCCTAGACAGGGACTCCCAACACTGTGCTAGCTTCTTGGCTCCATACTGCCTCTTCCCTAGAAAGCATGGATTTCCCAAGGGGCAAAATGCTCCCTGGGGTTTATGTGACCTGTGGTTACAGCTTGAGGGATGAGTGAGGACGGGAGTTCCGGAGGAAACAGCATTTCTTACTTTTCAAAGAAAGAATCCCAGCCAGGGACAAAGCCAGGCTCCCTGGTAAACCACAGCACTGTCATCAGGATGAAGAAAAAAGCAGTCACCATTTCAGGGTAGCTGTCAAAGAAAGCACGAAGAGCCGCTTCAAGAACTGGGAACTTAGCTTTCTCACGTGGCTTCTGAAAGCTCCTATCCAGACCGCCAACACTGACGACATGAAACACAGAGGCTACTTAAGTACTACACTGGCTGGCAGTGAATTAGGAAACACACTGGCAGGGATGCTAGAGGCGACAGAAGCCATGTTTCCTGGAGAAAGGTAGGTGGGAGGGAGGGGCACAGCAGTGTTGTGAATAAGACAGCTTAATCTTCACTCTCAGGAGCGCGCCATACAGTGAGCATCCTCAGATTCGGCCGGTGGGAGCACACACTGCTACCAACCAGGGTTTTAGGGAAATTTACCACACACCTTGGGAGCTTTAATTTTGGTTATTCCCTTCACCCGAGACAATAACTGGCAATGCACAGTGAATTATTACCTATTGAGAAGGGATCAACAGTGTTGTTTCTCCAATGAGGTTCTGTGACAGTGAGTACATTTTGGTATTACCATTAAAATGAGATCCAACCAGTAATAGTCTTGTTGCCATGGCAGAATGAATGACACGGGCCATAATCCAAGCAGAAGGTTAAGTGAAAATAGCACATACAACTACGTTCAGTATGAATGTTATAATATATATATATATATATATATATATATATATATATATATTAGGTACTCATATATACATATAATTATAATATGCATAGCCTATAGTACTGAAGTTTGAACCCAGGACTTCATGTATGCTTAGCAAGTGCTTTACCATTGAGTTAACTTTCGCAGCTCATGTTGGCTTTAATTTGAAACAGTCTAAGTTGCCCAGTCTGGTCTTGAACTTACCTTCTTGCCTCAGCCTTTGGAGTTAATTGAAATTGTAAATCCAGCTTAATCATATAATTTACACATACACACGAAAGGAATATATTATGCTAGCAATTAAAACAAGGATACAAGTCCATTTTGCTTTTTCCTTATACATTCCTATATTTTATAAATGGCATACCATGAACATTTATTCCTTTTATAAATTAAAGCTTTAAAAATATCATTTCTATCTGATTTTTTCACTCAAAGTTCAGTATAGGGAGCACTCTGAGAGAGGACATATAGCATTGGCCAGAAGGCTGTATGGGATGCTGTAGGAATATTGACAGAGTGTTAGTCTAGTTGGTAGTGATGTCCTAGTATTGATTGCCTATCTTCAAATCTGTGTTTTATGCTCTAAATATAGCACCGAGGTCCCCACAGCTGGATCACTATTGAGACATGTAAAAATCTCTGACTTGACTTTACAAGGTTCCATCAGTGGCTGTGTTTTCTTTCTGTTGAATTTTCTTGAACTGTCCCATTAGATTCTTCACCCCATACCTTGGACTGAACACAGAAGACAGAAGAGGGTAGTCACTAAAAACCAGGCCAGCATGGCTCTGACATTAAATAGCACCATCAAAATGCTTAGATGTGGAGTTCTGGAAAATTCTGCCAGTGTGGGGGACTGTCAGGACCAAGGCTGCTGGTTCCCCTCACTGTTGGCACTGGACAGGGGAAAGCGGAACGGCAGTTCTTACCTAATGTCTCCCAGCTTTTCGTATTCCTCCCGGATCCTCTTCTCCGACAGCTCTTCCCGTTTGGTCTTCTTCTTCTTGCTCAGAGAACAGGTCTCTTTAAAGCTAGGAAGGGAGAGTGAGCACAAAGGTAAAATACGCTTCTGAGGTCAGCTATACCGCTTGTCTTCTGTGTGGTCACCTTGTCTTCTTCACACAACGCTGCCCGCCCTCCTGTTCGCACAGCTTCTGTCTGCCTAGTTACCCAGCCCCTCTTAGGCCTTCCCCTGGCCATGGTTATATCCATGAGGACATAGTTGGGGTGTGGGCTTATGTCTTACAGAGGTAGCTGGGTATTTATGTCTAGTTATTTTCATACACCTAAGTATGTGAGTAGAGTTGGAGTGTTGATTGTGTGTGTGTATGCATGCTTGTGTGTGTGTGTGTATGTGCAGACATACTTATTTGTCTAGAGACAAGGTTTGTCTGGGGTAAAGGTAGGTACTAGTTTTATGTTACAATATTGGCCTGTTGTATACAGCCATCGCTGGTTTGACAATAAGCTGAGTAAAGAGTGATGGGTTCCGTAGGCGATTTACTAAGGAAACATCATATGTGTTTTCCCCATTGCATTTGAGGTTGATTAAATTTTAGAGTAGATGGATGGTTATTTTTTTTAAATATTTATTTATTTATTATGTATACAAACACTCTTTTTTCTCTTTAAGATTTATTGACTTGTTATGTATACAGTGTTCTGCCTGCAGGCCAGAAGAGGGCACCAGACCTCATTACAGATGGTTGTGAGCCACCATGTGGTTGCTGGGAATTGAACTCAGGACCTTTGGAAGAGCAGGCAATGCTCTTTACCACTGAGCCATCTCTCCAGCCCAGATGGATGGTTATTAAGAGAAGACTTACTAAGCAGTTTAATATTAGAAATAATATCACAAGGGTCATGTCCAACTTGTCATTTTGAGAGATATGACGAGCACATTCCAAATAAACTTCTAAACAGAAATCACGCCTGTCTATAGAGTGAAAGCCGGGGCAGCTTAGACTCTTCTTCCTAAGAGCAGTTGAGGTTACTCTATGACTTAAGGTCAATGAAACTTCATCAAATACTCTCCAGGCTTTTGATAAACCAGACAGGTCTGTAAGCCAAGTGGTCAGAATTAAAACCATCTCTCTGTGCACTGAGAAGTGCAGAGTTCATGAAATCTCCGAGTCTCCAGAAGAGACAATGTTCAGCTCAGTCTTGTCCCCTGCATCCCCAGAGCACAGGCCGTTGGGGCTGAGCCTGCCCACTTGCACCAGAGCCTCTGGAAGAACCTTGGTGTTTGGCCAGCAGGGCCCGAACACTCACTTGCAGCCCAGGAAGAGCCAGTGCATCCAGAACCAGCTGACCACCAGCATGAGGAGGGAGATGGGGAAGCTGAAGAGGAACCAGGTCCCGAAGTTCACCACCTCTGCTGCGGGGTACTGGCTGGAGGGGAAAGACCAGGGCAGGGGTAAGGAACACATGATATTTCCTCATGGTATTTGGGAGTGACAGCCAAGAGCTCCTTCAGGAGACACACAGCAGGCCCAGGGCAGAGGAAACTACAGTGACGCTTGACCAGGCATTACCTAGAACTGTGCAGACTCGACCCAGCTCCTCCATGTCACTGGCAGTCCCCCCCCCCCCCCCCCCGAGACCACAGGGAGCTCCCTAAACCCCCTATTCTGCATTGTTCTCCAGTTTCCATCCAGAATGAGTTTCCAGAACTAAGACTATGACATCCGCCCTTACTTCAAACTCCTTGAAGGCTTCTCATGGCCTTTCTGGTGCTGGCCAAGCTTGTAGGTCTTGCCAGCCCTTTGTCAATCTGTTCCTCTTCCTTCCATCCTCCTGCCTCAGAGCCCTCACACCGCTGTGCATTCTTTGGAAAGCTTCCATCTAGTTTCCTTTGCCTCATCATCCAGGTGGCCCCATTTCCTTCCTGCAGATGGAGGAGCTCCCTGGGCAGAATCCTGGACTGGTCTTGCCCTCCTCCACTGGCATGCCAGCCGCTCCGCTCTGCCCCTGGCACTTAGCCGCATTCTGGCCTAGCCACCAATAGAGGGTTCTTACTTAGCACTTGCTGAGTGAACGAAGGACTTACTTGTTGAAATACTCTAGGAAGATGAGGCTGGTGGATGTGCCAATAATGGTGGTCAGGCCACCAATGGTGGCGGCATAGGATATGCTCAGAGAAAGGCACTTGCAGATCATTTGGTCGTGGTGGGATCTGTACTTCTTCCTGTTCGGTTCTTGGTTCTTGGAGCTGGGGATCAGGACTCCCGACTTCTCCTACCAAAGGAAAATCAGTGAATCGGCTAGCATGGGCTATCCAGGACATGAAGCCAGAGAGGCTGGAGGCGCAATGGTTCAGTAGACAGGCGCTGAGTTACAGAAGAACCTAGCTTTCGTGAGATGATACACTTGAGCTCTCCCTCCCCGCGTCACTCTTTCTTCTCTCTTGCCTTTGGCCTTTCCCTTCCCTCTTTGCACATAAGCCTCGGTCTTGGCATGGTCTTCTCAGTCTTGCTTGGTCCAGTTCATGGCCTTGAGTATGAACTAAAGAAGCAGGTGCCCCCATTCCTTCCAGGCTGGGTCCTCTCATCTCCCACTAACTCTTTTCATTTTTAAAGTGTTTTTTGACCCATGGTCAATTAGTCCAGTGTAGCCTCAAAATCACCATGTAGCTAAACTTGGTCTTAAATTCCTTATCTGGCTGCCTCCACCTTCCAAGTGCCGGGACTATAGGCAGGCACTACCATGCTGCATGAGACTTGGAGAAGCCTGGTACAAACATCAGCTCTCCAAGTCATAGGAAAACTGTTTTGTGGAAGTGGCCATCTTGCCATGCTTCTCATGGCCCTTAGTTCTTGTGAAATATTAATTTGAGATGTGTTATATTCATCTATGCTGTGGAATATTTGTTTAGTGATGCAAAGATGTGTCACACTCTGTGAAACTGTGTTATTTTGCCTGTCTAAAACACCTGATTGGTCTAATAAAGAGCTGAACAGCCAATAGCTAGACTGGAGAGGGATAGGTGGGGCTGGCAGGCAGAGTGAATAAGTAGGAGGAGAAATCTGGAAAGAGATCAAGGAGCCAGGAAAGGAGAAGAGAATATCAGGGTCCAGCCACCCAGCCACACAGCCACCCAGTCACACAGTCACACAGTCACACAGCTACATAGCCACACAGCCACCCAGTCACACAGTCACACAGTCACACAGCTACACAGTCACACAGCCACACAGCTACACAGTCACACAGCTACACAGTCACACAGCCACACAGCTACACAGTCACACAGCTACACAGTCACACAGCTACACAGTCACACAGCCACACAGCTACACAGTCACACAGCTACACAGTCACACAGCCACACAGCTACACAGTCACACAGCTACACAGTCACACAGCTACACAGTCACACAGCTACACAGTCACACAGCCACACAGCTACACAGTCACACAGCTACACAGTCACACAGCTACACAGTCACACAGCCACACAGCCACACAGCTACACAGTCACACAGCCACACAGCTACACAGCCACACAACCACACAGCTACACAGTCACATAGCTACACAGTCACACAGCCACACAGCTACACAGTCACACAGCTACACAGTCACACAGCTACACAGCCACACAGCCACACAGCCACACAGTCACACAGCCACACAGCTACACAGTCACACAGCTACACAGTCACACAGCCACACAGCTACACAGCCACACAGCTACACAGTCACACAGCTACACAGTCACACAGCCACACAGCTACACAGTCACACAACTACACAGTCACACAGTCACACAGCTACACAGCCACACAGCCACCCAGTCACACAGTCACACAGCTACACAGTCACACAGCCACACAGCTACACAGTCACACAGCTACACAGTCACACAGCCACACAGCCACACAGTCACACAGCTACACAGTCACACAGCTACACAGTCACACAGCCACACAGCTACACAGTCACACAGCTACACAGTCACACAGCCACACAGCTACACAGTCACACAGCTACACAGTCACACAGCTACACAGTCACACAGCTACACAGTCACACAGCCACACAGCTACACAGTCACACAGCTACACAGTCACACAGCTACACAGTCACACAGCCACACAGCCACACAGCTACACAGTCACACAGCCACACAGCTACACAGCCACACAACCACACAGCTACACAGTCACACAGCTACACAGTCACACAGCCACACAGCTACACAGTCACACAGCTACACAGTCACACAGCTACACAGCCACACAGCCACACAGCCACACAGTCACACAGCCACACAGCTACACAGTCACACAGCTACACAGTCACACAGCCACACAGCTACACAGTCACACAGCTACACAGTCACACAGCTACACAGTCACACAGCCACACAGCTACACAGTCACACAGCTACACAGTCACACAGCCACACAGCTACACAGTCACACAACTACACAGTCACACAGCCACACAGCCACACAGCTACACAGTCACACAGCCACACAGCTACACAGTCACACAGCTACACAGTCACACAGCCACACAGCCACACAGCTACACAGTCACACAGCCACACAGCTACACAGCCACACAGCCACACAGCCACACAGCTACACAGTCACACAACTACACAGTCACACAGCCACACAGCCACACAGCTACACAGTCACACAGCCACACAGCTACACAGCCACACAACCACACAGCTACACAGTCACACAGCTACACAGTCACACAGCCACACAGCCACACAGTCACACAGCCACACAGCTACACAGTCACACAGCTACACAGTCACACAGCCACACAGCCACACAGCTACACAGTCACACAGCCACACAGCTACACAGCTACACAGTCACACAGCCACACAGCTACACAGTCACACAGCTACACAGTCACACAGCTACACAGCCACACAGCCACACAGCCACACAGTCACACAGCCACACAGCCACACAGTCACACAGCCACACAGCTACACAGTCACACAGCAACACAGCTACACAGTCACACAGTAACACAGTCACACAGTCACACAGCCACACAGTCACACAGCCACACAGCCACCCAGCCACACAGTCACACAGTCACACAGCCACACAGCCACACAGCTACACAGTCACACAGCTACACAGTCACACAGCCACACAGCCACACAGCTACACAGTCACACAGCCACACAGCTACACAGTCACACAGCTACACAGTCACACAGCCACACAGCTACACAGTCACACAGTAACACAGTCACACAGCCACCCAGTCACCCAGTCACACAGTCACACAGCCACCCAGTCACCCAGTCACACAGTCACACAGCCACACAGTCACACAGCTACACAGCCACACAGCTACCCAGTCACACAGCCATAGAACCAGCCACGGAGTATGAAGGAAAGAGAGGTATATAGAACAGAGAAAGGTAAAAGCCCAGAGGCAAAAGGTAGATGGGAAAATTTAAGAAAAGCTGGCTAGAAACAAGTGAAGCCAGGGCTAGGCATTTATAAGAAAGAATAAGTCTCCATGTGATTATTTGGGGAACTGGGTGGCAGACCTTCCAAATGGTAAAGAGAAAAAAAATCCCCAACTACACTTAACTATTGTCTATCTTCTTCTGAAGACCAAAGTAAGGCATGGGCACTTCTAACCACTGAAAGATTCACTGCTTGCCTGAGCCACAAAGGACCACTTAGATTCTCTGGCTCAAGGATTTCCCATGATCTTTTCTTCTAATGGAATTTATACTGAAGCTGAATACATGAACTAACTTTTAGTTAGCTTTTAACAGGTTTCCAATTCATAGCCGGAAGTCTACCAAGGGTTTAACTATGTGTGCACACTGCCTTGAAATCGAGATGCTGTGCTTCCCAGCACCCCACTGTTGACTCCTGATTTCATTGCTGTGCCTCATTTGCAAGAATGAAGTTCAAAATCACTACTTTGTTGAGCCAGGACTGTGGAGAAAATGCCTAGCATTGGGCTTGGTACATGTTCTTGGAATAAACATTTCATAAATGGTGGCATTTATTAATGGTGGCAGTGAAGATGTAAAATGACAAGATTGGTGATGGATAAAAATGTCTGAAATCAAGGGCTATAGGTGCCCGATGCCTCTTCAGACCAGCCTCAGCATTGCTGCATTGCTGTGTTTTGTTTTAGAGTTACAGCAACAGGAGAAGGCTCATTTGTGCAGAAGAGCAACCGTGCTTGTAGGACACGAAGAAAGAATATTTACCATGAGAACCGGTGAGATGGCCTCATGGGTTAAGGCAGAGAGAATATTTACCCTGGGAACTGGTGAGATGGCTTCATGGGTCAAGGCACGTGTCTCCAAACCCCATGACCTGAGTTAGATCCCTGGGACCTACACCGTAGATGTAGAGAACTGACTCCCCCAAATTGTCCTCGGACCTCCACAGTTGTACCTGCGTACTCCTGTGTGTGTACGTGTATGCACTGCACCGCACACACACTGTGCACACACACTGTGCACACACACTGTGCACACACATACACACTCAATGTAATTTTAGAAATAAATATTTATAGTGCCCTCAAAGAATCATTTGAACCTCATCTCTACCAACATTAAGCACTGACAGTTGGAAACCTGTGACCCAGAAAGTGGCACATTTTGGCTCTTGGTTCTGTCCATTGAGCTCAGGCACTTTGTTTCCATGGCACACATGACAGACACTAAGGACAGTTCACTAATGACAACATCAGGACCAGCACCTTTTGGAAGTAATAAGCTATTTCATATAGGGTTCAGTTACCTGTGATGAATGCTGCCTCTTTGGTTGCTGCTGGTTTGTTGTTTGGACAGGTTTGGTGACCATGGGCACACCGTTTAGGTTCTGCTGGAACAAAAGCCATCGTGCTGTTAGGAAGAGCATGCGGTCCAAGTGCCTGGAGAGGTACCGCTTGACTGTTCCAGGGCTACCATAGGGACGCAGAGAGCAGAAGGCCGAGAGGGCATTCCTAAGGGCACCCCTACCCAGGGTCAGCATCCATCTTCACAGGTTCCATCCAGCCAGGGGAAGAAGATTTGAAACCTGGAATCACCATTCTGTTCTTATAAGCAAGAAGAGCTTCCGGGAGTTTATTAGCAGGTGAAGAACTCTATTCTTTCCAAACCCACGAAACATTAGAAATGATCTACCACAGTGAAATCCTCAGTTTGGAGGCTGGAGAGGAAGTTCAGCCATTAAGAGTATGACTGCTCTTACAGAGGACTTGAGTTCAGTTCCCAGCACCCAGGTCACAACCACCTAGAATTTCAGTTCTAGGGGATCCGAAACCATCTTTGGGACTTTGCACATCTCTGAACTTACATGTATACACACACATACACAGACACATACAGACATACACATAAAATCTTTTAAATAAAATATTTTTTAAAAAAATTGCACAGGACCAGGCAGTGGTGGTGCATGCCTTTAATCCCAGCACTCAGGGAGGCAGGAGTAGGCAGGTGTGTTCGAGGCCAGCCTGGTCTACAGAATGAGTTCTAGGACGGCCAGAGAGATACACAGAAAAACCTTATCTCGAAAAAAACCAAAATAAATAGCCAAATAAGTAAAAAAAAAATTGCACAGTTTAGTTGGCCAGTTTCTCTTCTTGTGAAGAGATGTGAAACCTTCAAGGAAAGAGGGTGAGTCTGGGCAACAGCACTCTTTAGTATGAAGATTTTGCGAATGGAAACCCCAGTGAGCAGAATACAATCCTGAGCTTGAACACAGGCTCTTGAAATCAGAATGTCTGAATTTTGGTTTCCATTCAAAAGATTAACTTGTATTTTACTTATTTAACTTGTCTTGTTCAGCTACCCAGGACTCAGAGCTGGGGTTCAGAACCACCCACACCCTTGTCTGAATTCCCACTGGCCCTTCTCATGTCCAGCCCAGATGAGTTCAAGAGCCTTAAGCTTAAGTTCAAGGCCAGCACCGAGAACTACAGAAAAAGCTACCAGGCATCTCGGTGCCTCAGTTATCTTGAGGGAATTCCACGTGACGTCAAAGCCCAGGGCGGGGAACTGAGGCCATACCTTGTTCTGCATCAGAGAGGTGAAGTCTGCAGTTGGTGTGCTGAAAAGAAGCAAAAAATCAGGGAGAGCCGAGTGGAGCAAGCATGGCGAGAAGGGTGCTCTTCCTCGCGCTCAGTGTTTGGTATAAGGGTCTTAACGTTAGACTCAAGTTTTCTAGCCTCCAAAGAGGACCAATGTTTTCCTAGTCTCCCCTGACTCCTAAGATGCTCTAAGAGTCCAGGGGCTTGCTTCCTCCCAGGGACGGGCCAGCAGCTTCCTTTGAAGTGACACCAACACCCCTAATAATAGCAGATATGGAGTTCTGATTGGGTGCAGGCACTTAAATTCAAGCTTCATTCTTTACGACACCATCAACCTTCATAACAGATCCAGGCCACCAGCATCCAGTCACACCACCTCTTAGCGCTAGGATGTCAGAAGTGGGTGCCCGTGGGACCCTCATTGTCTCATTGGAAAACCTGTGCCCGGATGGTACCCTTACTAGCTGCCTCAAGTAGGTCACAATCTAGAAACAGAAATGTGTGACATGCTATCTGAGGTGACAACAGCAGGAAGGACGGGCAGGGAAGAAAAAAAGATGAGGAAGAATTTGGGTCAGTAGCTGCACCTCAGGGAGGGGACAGTTAGCTGTATGCGCCGAGTCCCTCCCATACCTGTGGCTTCCCCAGTCTTTTCCCTGAAGACAGAGGAAGATGGGAACAATCAAAAATCCCGACACACGGAGTTCTCAGTAGCTGTTTATAGTCTATGTCAGTTGTGCGGACTGTGGCCCTACCGGCTCACCCACTCTGAAGGCAGATGGCAGTGCTGGGCACTAACACACAGAACATAGAGTCCGGAAACCATCAGTGCGTTAAGTCTGCGTCAGTGGGAGCTGAAGAGGATGACAGTAAAGGGTGCTTTGAAGATTACATGATGGACTCATGTTTGCTTCCTAGACTGGCCGAAGGGGGAAGCGAGGATCGCTTCAGAAGGCAGGGGAGGCACTGGTCACATAGAAGAACACCAAATACCCGTGCTTCCATGAGCACAGTGGATCTTGGAGGACAAGGGACAGCTGAGCTTTTGTTTCAGACTTTTGGTACTGACACAGTGGAGTCAGAAGGGCCGGAGAGAATAGTTACGGTGGTCATAGGAGCAGCCTGTGTGCAAGTGGGCATGATGCCCATCTTCTCAGGGAGGGGACACACGAGAAGAAGCAGGACGGGAGCCATCTTGAAAAGCATTGCCTAGAAAACAGTGACCACAGGAAATGAAGAGGCTGAACCATCAGAACACTGACAAGAAGGGAGATATGTGGTCATCCAAGAGCCAAGAGCCATCTGGCCTGGGTGATAAAGAGGTCACTTCAAGGGGGTGACCTGTGAACCCTGGAGGTGGGCACCTGCAAGTGACAGCTAGGGACTGGATCTCAGACAGGATTCTAGCCTGGAGCCTTTTTGCCCTTTGGTCTTTTCTGTAGCCTACATTTGCCCCAACTCTGGAGACGGCAGAAGCAACAGAGTGAGGGGACAGTAGGGGGTGGGATGGGGGACAATGGAAGGTCAGTTCCTTTCCTCTCTTTCATCTCTTTCTTCTGCAGGCTTAGGCCCAGAGGGAACAGGTGTGGGCTCAAGGAGAGGAGAGAAGTTATAGACAGAGCTGAGAGATTTGACATGAGCCTGGGCTAGACAGCCGAGGATCTGATAACGGGATTCTTCTGCCTCTCTGAAAGGACCAGGAAAACTGTGGCATCTGCCTAAGATACCAGCAAAGGTGAACGGCAGCAAGGCAATATGTAAGTCCAAGACAAAGATGCTAGTTCTGCCAGGTCCCCTCTGTGTCTGTCCAGCTATACAGGCTGACTTCACTCAGTGTGAGTTCTCTGTTTTTTGTTTGTTTGTTTGTTTTTAGTTTAAAAGGGAAAATTACAAAGACCCATCACAAAATACAACTTTTAAATGTGTAGTGTTCACTCTGGAATGCCCGTAACAACCGTATTTGTATACAGGCTCTGGAAGGAAGTCAGCTGTGGGTAGACTCCACACATATGAACGCTGAAGAACATGTTTCTCTTTTCCTGGCTTTCTGGCTGTCTAGAGCATCATACTGTCTGCCACCAACTGTCCCCTGGTATTCTAATCGTATCAGTGTGGGTGAAATTGGCCTTGGCAGCTGCAGGGCAGCTCCCACGTTTACTCAGATGTAACATCTTTTTATTCTTCCTCATCAAGATTTTGAGAAGTAGAGTCTATGGACGGAGACAAGCTGGTGAGCTTGGTACACCATATCTAAAGGAGATGCCTTTGGTCCTATCTTTCCTGGCCTCTCCGATGGGCCCAAGAAGCTCTGTCTGGGAGGAGGGAGGTCATACTCACTCTTCGTTGACAAAGATGAGTTCCACAGAAGTTTGTCTGTTGTTTACATCAAGACCTATTGTGGTAGAGAAATACAGGAAGTGAAAACTGAGGCAGGAGTGGACCCTGTATGTGGAAGTCCAGGGGCTCAGGACAGGGTCAGAGGTGAGGTAGATGATCCCCTCCCCTTCTCTCTGGTCTGAGGGTACAGTGGGGGTATAGATGCAGACAGACCCCAGAGTTTTGCAATAATGCTTGAGCACCTAGGACAAAGAGAAGGGGGGGGGGGGTACCTGTGAGCCAAGTAGGAAGGGAGAGTGTCCATGGGTTAAGGGTACTTGGGTTATGGCACCTGGCATGGGCAAAGTAGGGAAATGAAGACGAGGGCATGGACACCAGATTGGGCAGTGTTGCCGTGAAGACTGGCAGGGAATCCAGGGAGGAGGGCGGGGGAGCAGAGGGGAGCTGAGCTCCAGCGAACTGTACCCATGAGCTCGGCCTCCTCAGGGCTGGAGGTGCCCGCTACCAGCTGCTCCTCCTCGGCGTTGATCAGCTCCTGCAGCACGGCCTCCACGATGGGCATCACCATGGCGGTGGTGGAGGTGTTGGAGAGCCACATGGACAGCATGGTGGTGCAGCACATGAAACACAGCAGCAGCCTGCGGAGGGTAGGGGCGATTGGCGTGGAGCATGCCCCTGTGGAACTCATAGCCACAGACTTCGGAGGGCAGGGGCGATTGGGGCGGAGCATGCAGTTGTGGAATTGGGCCTTATGACCCACAAGATGCCTGCCAGCTTCGAGCTCCCAATGCTGGGTGCAGAGGAACCTTTATTTCAGCATTGGTCTAGCGAACAATTTGCATTTTATGGCTAGTGACCATGGCCAGGAAAAAGCCTTTAAAGTAGGAAAGGATAGCTTTGGTAGAAAAGTCCCAGGGTACGGACTCACTGGTTGTTATTCTTGCTCTGTGGACATTAGGTGGAGCCCTGTGATGTGTCTCTTACAGACAAGGGGGTTCTTTCCCCTCTCCCTGCAGCCGGGAAGTCTAGGGCACAACTGTACCCCCCTTGCTCAGTGTAAGTCAGCATAGTCAGAGATGAAAGTCCGGGCACTCGGTTACCCGGCTACTTGTCTCAGCATCAACTAGTTGCAGGAATGGCCGCAAAGCCACCCAAGTGCTCTCTGTCCCCGCTTGTGTGCGTGTCTCCAGCTGGCCTCTAGAAGAGTCAAGCTTGGAGGAACACAGAGCGAAAATAACCTTCAGATTATCTCCCCTTGACTTGGAAGCACAGGGCAAGCTGTGCCTATACAGACCTGGTGCTAGTTATCATTAGATAAGGACACAGAAGTGGCTTTGTTTATACTTCGGATGACCTTGCACAATCTGGGGGCAGCAGATATGTGGACTGTGCCCAAGTAGGGCAGAGTCCTGCCAGTGTTTTGTTTGAACAGACAGCAACATGGTTCGAATGTTTTGCACACTAATGGCAGCATGCCACGCGGGCGCAAACCTGCTTGGGTCGTGTGGTAAACGAGAAGAGAAACACAAATGTGCGAAAATTCTTGTCGATAGTATAGTTTTCAAGAGCTCTGCAGGGGCTAGAGATGTGGCTCGGGGCTACAGTGCTCTCCCAGGGCGAGGTCCAGGTCCAGGCTTGCTTCACTCATCCCAACTCCCTCACCCAGTACCACAAAAGAAACAACGCTAAACGAAAACAAAGGAGCCCTAAGGTCCCAACAGGATGGAAGAAATGCCCCCCCCCCCCCATCCCCGGAAGCTGAGTGGGCAGATGGTCGCTGGGCCTGCGTGGATTAAGCTGTAGTTAGCAACTCCCTTTAGCAACCTGGGAGACAGGAACACGCTTTAGAGTTCCAACATGTTAGTCAAAAAGACCGATGCTGGAAATGAATGCTACCTGATTTACAGTTTGCCCCTGGGACTGGCGAGGCAGCTCACATAAGATGTAGTGGAAAGTTTTGAACTAGGCGCGGAGAAAGGGAAGACAAACAAGGGGCATCCGATCCCACAAAACCGTCCCCCATGACGCCCCCACATATTCTGCGAGGGTGAGGATCTCTTCTCTGCCGGCCTCTTGAAGGTGGAGTGGAAGGAGAAAGAGAGAGGATGTGAGGACATGGAGAGACACTCACTGCCTGCCTGATGGGTCTGGGGTCTGAAGCACCAGCAGCAACTTGGGTGCATGGCAAGAGACACCCATATCTTCTTAAATGACAATGGGGAAGCCACCCACCTCTTGGTCCAGTGTGTACCCTAACCTACAGGGAAAAAAATGGCAAACTGTTTCTGTTGGCCCATTTTGTGCTTTCTATCAAGGCCCTCAGGTGTTGCAAACCTGCTGTCCTTACAGTCCAGGTGTGACGTGAATGCCCTAGGTCAGGTGATAGTCGCCATCAGGGCTACTGTTCAAATCGGCATCCCGGCTATGGGATCTCTCCCACGGATGCGGGAGGTCAGTGTCCATCACTCTGATGTCATCTCCTCATTAGCAGAGGAGCGCCAGTACACATCCTGCTGAGGCTCAGGCCCCGCCCCCCGGTCCCCACACGTGACTCACATGCCTGGCTTGGCTCCGGCCATCAAGACCATGCGCAGGGCGATGCGCTTGTGCAAATTCCACTTCTCCACGGCGGCCGCCACGCAGATGACACCCACCAGCAGCAGTGTGGTGTTCTTGAAGTACTCAGCCGCCACCTGTAGGGAGAGCGGCGAGGTCAGCCACTGCGGAATGTTCTGAGACCCAGAGGCTGGTGAAGGAGAAGCAGGGAGGTGAGGCTTAGTCAAATACCTGGTTATCTCCTCCCCTTAGCGTCCTGCAGTTCCGGGATCAAACCCAGGGCCTTTCCCACGCCGGACAAACACTCTGCCATTAACCTCCACCACTAGTTAAAATGGTTTGTTAACTCCTAAGCACCGGCTGACCTTGGGCATCACCATATCAAACTCTTCACAAAGGCCATCCTCCCATTTCACCCCCTCCAATAATACCTCCATGTGGCCAATAGTCTCCACTTGTAGAAGGTAGGTACTAAATTTGAATTTGATGTAAATTTTTCTTTAATAAATTTATTTATTTTATGAATGTGAGTTTTAAAAAATTAACACACATACATATGTATTTTAATTTTGATCTTTAAAAAATTATCAAAACAGGATGCAATAGCATAGACCTGTGCTGGGATTATAGCCAAATGCCGCAACACTCCATGGGATAGAATTCTTGAAGGGAATTTTACAGTTTGCCTTCCTTTTTTCCTATTTCCCTCAAAGGAAAAAAAATTAATAAAGAAAGAATAAAATTATAGACTATAATTAATTTTTCATCTTTCACTTTGGTTAACATTCCCTTCTCATCCGCATGGTCTCCCCCGCACACCCACTCCCCTCCCTTGTGGAACCTCCCCATTCCCCGTGTTCCCCTTTCTCATCACATGCTCTGGCATGTCCTGACTCAGAACATTCTGTCTTCATCCCTGGCTCTGCGTTCGGAACAGACTTCAAAGCCAAGCTCAGACCCAGTGCAGAAATTCCATACACTGTAGAGCGCTTGGGGCAAGACTGGGGTTGTGGCTTTACTTAAAGCCAAACATTGCAGAGAGCTCAGGGCGAGGCTGGGCTGGTGGCTTGAGGTGTGTGCTGAGGTTTGGTTAGTTCTTACATTCATCTCTTCAGTCTTTCAGTAAAAATTTTGGATTGCCAATAGTGGAATAACGTGCAAAAGTAGATAAATAAATAAAATAATAAATTAATAATACATAAATCAATAAAAATAATCACATGGTTGGAAGAACCATGGCAGAAAGTGAGGAGCTGAACTTTTCAATTTAAAAATGTCTCTCAGAGTGACCAAACAAGAACATTTTTAACTTCAGGAAAAATAATTGCACAGTAAAGGACATTTAAATATAGTAAAATATGTGGGATTGGAAGTCAATGACATTTATATAACCACACTAAGAGTTTCCTTTTGGTTACTGAACTAAAAGAAGTTGGGGGACTGGGGAGATGGTGTGGTTGGTAAAATAAGTGTCAGCCAGCCTGCTGCTATGAACTGGGATCCCCTGAATCCATGTAAATCTGCATGCATCTGTAATCCGGTGCTCCTGTGTGGAGATGGGAGGCGGAGGCAGGAGAGTCATCTGGAAGCTCTCCAGTCAGCTAGACTGTCATAGAGCGGCAGAGACAGGAGATAGCCTGCCTCAAATATATACACTGTGGTACGTACGTACCCGCAGCCACCACCCCTCCCGTATAGTTAGTTATTGGAGAATGAAGGGATCCACAGTGGGGGTGTAAGAGAACACAGTTCTTACCTGCACATGGGAGGTGTCATTTAATAATATCTAAAACCAGCGACTCAGTGGGAATATGGTGATTAGTGCCGGGGGTTGGGGGTAGCATAGGTGAAAGGCACAGCGTCTGAGGCTGGCTGGCTGGGTCTTGGAAAAAGTGAGGAAGAACTGGGGAAGGAGACTCCTACTTTCATGATAGACTCGTTCAGTTTAAACTTTGTTCAAGCAAACCTTTGTAGCCACAACAACGGAACCTACTCCATTTCTCTTTGCTTATCCCCCCCCCCTTAAAAATTTCATGAGTTTTTTGTTTGTTTGTTTGTTTTTTGTTTGTTTGTTTTTTTCACAGTGTGGTTCATGCCTATGACCATTTCCTGGGAGGCAGAGCCTTGTGCTTCTGGTTGACCTAGCTCTTGTCCCCAAGCTTCCTCATCAGTTGACCATGGTCATGAATGCTCCCAGATGCCATAGGAAGTCTTCTACTACCGGTAGTTCAAAATGTTCCTGGCAAAGACACTGTCCCCCAGGAGGAGCGAGTGTGGCTGGGATTCTATGGGGTCCATAGCTGCTATGGGGCCAGTACCTTTCTAGTTTCCTCCCTAGGTTTCTGTGAGTTGGCTTGGGACAGCCTTGAATTTTCCTTTGTCTACCGAGAGGGAACCCTACAACAGACATACGACACGGAAATCATGGGGGATGATCCGTGCACTACCCTGTGACCCCTGCTTCCTGCCACGGAAGAGTTGATGAGACTGTAATTCTACTCCTAGAAGGCTGGCAACAACGACGGGTTCTCTGCTACTTTGACATATGCCATCTCATAACACCAGTTCATCTGTGATGTCTTCTAGAGGGCTCAGTGCTCCTCGGAGGTGGGACTACTCTCTCGCGGTCCCACCCAAGGATAAGAGGAGGACCATCAGGTAGGTTGGAGCACCTTCTACACTCCAGGTGCTTTGCCGTTCACAATTGCTTTTTCCACTAAGCCCTGCGGAAGTCCTAGCGGACGTACACTGGTTGTGTTTAGTTTTTTTTTTTTTTAAGCAAACTTATACAACCTTTTATTTTCAAACAAAGTGTCATACTCCATATAAGAAGAATAAAGAATTTAGACAAGAAATCTATAACTATTTACTCATTCAATGTATATACTCAATAATATAAATGGATATTCACTTGTTTTGAAATTTAGGCGTCATTGCAGTTCTTCCACTTGTAGTTTGAATAATCATTTATAAAACTCTATTTGAATATCCACTGCATATTTTTCATAAAGGTCAACTGATATCTATGCAAATGAAATGGAATATGGACAAGGATTTTTGTATCATAATTAAAATTTTGTCAATAGAAAAAGAAGCATTGAATTTTTAAATAGTTTGTCAAAACCACTCTGAATGAGAAGTAGATGTGTATTTAGTTATTTGCAAAATAAGAATGGATGAAGAAAGTATGGAATATATACATATTAGAGTATTACTCAGCAGTAAAAAACAAGGACTTCTTGAATTTTGCATACAAATGGATGGAAATAGAAAACACTATCCTGAGTGAGGTAAGCCAGACCCAAAAAGAGGAACATGGGATGTACTCACTCATATTTGGTTTCTAGCCATAAATAAAGGACATTGAGCCTATAATTCATGTTCCTAGAGAAGCTAAATAAGGTGAATCCAAAGACAAACACATAGGCATCCTCAGGAATATTAACCTTCATCAGGCGATGAAAGGAGACAGAGACAGAGACCCACACGGGAGCACCGGACAGAAATCTCAAGGTCCAAATCAGGAGCAGAAGGAGACGGAGCACGAGCAAGGAACTCAGGACCACGAGGGGTGCACCCACACACTAAGACAATGGGGATGTTCTATTGGGATCTCACCAAGGCCAGCTGGCCTAGGTCTGAAAAAGCATGGGATAAATCCGGACTAGCTGAACATAGCGGACAATGAGGTTGTGTTTAGTTTTAAGATGAACGAACTCAGAGAGGTTGAGGAACCTGTATAAAGTCACAGTGCGAGGGCTAAGATGGGGTATCCAAGCATAGCCGAAGCTAAAACCTACTAGGTACCATGCTGTATGAGGTGGACCAGCCAGAAAACAGCTGCGAGCGGGTCATTCAGTATCCAGAAAGCCCAGGCCGGCATACATTTCTAGCCTTCACCCACAGCCACAGTCTTGACACTGGCTGTAGCTGCTGAGGCCTGCTGCCAATCAAAGACTCCGCTTTAGTGTGTTACTGGCTCTGTGATGTTTTCTCACTGAGTGTCTGATGAGCTTCAATCAATTCAGGTGTCCTCCCTGACCTCTTGTTTGTGAGCCAGGGGCTCTCTTGATATAGGCTGAGAACACAGAGGTTGCACAGGAAAGTGGGAGGAGCGAGAATTCCAGAGTCAGCCACCCTAGGGAGATTACGCAACCCCTCTTGGCTTTTTTTCTTTTCATCTCAATGAAAAGCAGGGTTATGTAAATCCCTACCTTGGAAAGTTGTTGCTACGAGTAAATGCCAGCTGCAAACCTAGCTAGCTTGGCCTGCCACATAACAACCGGGACTTCTGGCAACTCTCTTCCTGTTCCTAGAAACTTTACTCAAAGCCCGACCTGGTCTGGGGTGACCAGCATATGGAGTAGGCTCCTGCACAGAGCTAAGCCACAGGAGTGCCTGCTCCTTCACCCTGGTGAATGAAAGTCCTGCTCCGTGGCGGCGTCTGTGATTTTCCCAGCCCACTGGCTTCTCTTCCACAATAAGACCGCGCTTAGTTAGAGCCCCTCCAGGGCACCTCCAAGTCTCCAGATTCCTAAGGATTATCTTAACCGTTTTCTTAAAGTGTGCTACCTGCTTCCTGACTCTGTTGGATCTGCCACCTTGTCCCCGTCTCCTTTCAATGGGTTCAGCGTCCGACTCCCAGCCCAGCAGTGCCCACGCACGCACACCTCACTAGCAGCTGCCAGCACTGAGTCTCCCTTCCCTGCCCACATCTTACACTCTCTCTCTCTTCTCAGGCCTATCGGGACAAATTTCCTCAGCTGTCCCTTCCCCAAGTTTTAATACTTGCTAGCTTGGAAGAGCTGACAGCAGAACCTGTTGGAGTTCTCTATAAGCAGCACTAGGGTCTAACAGGGCACTTCTCCCAGGAAGATAGCTCATGGATTTGTGATGAGCGTGGGGGCAGCCATTGCCTCCTCTGCTTTTCCACTCTCTGGCTTTCCCAGAAGCGAATAAGTATTTGGAGACTGCATTTTAGAAGAGATGGGTCCCCTAGAAAAGGTGTCATCAGAGAGAGGGGTATGGGAGAAGCCTGGGCTCTGGAGAGCAGCTGCTGGTTGTTACCCCTACTCCATACCCAACCGTCTTGCCCACGAGCTAGAGGCTCTCTGACAAGCTAACAGACCCCATGTTA